TTTTTTTTAACAGTTTATGTAACTAGTGACCATTTTTTGTCGTAATTGATTGAAAAAATGAACTTTCAGCTCAAAAACAGGCCTAAGAACTCAAAAAAAGACAAAAAACACCGTTGTTATTGGAATCTCTGAATTTCTTAGCTTATCTTCGAACAAAACTTTCGCAAAATTCAAAATTTATTTCATTTTTGCCGTACTTTGAAGATTTTTCGGATTATTATGAACGAAATAATTGAATTTCTGGCTGAAATATTCGGGCAAATATAAAAAATCATATTTCTGACTAGAAAAATCAATAAAACCTTCGAAAAATTGAAAATTCATTTCATTTTTCACCTTTTGGCGATTTTTCGGTTTACTAAGAACGAAATTTTGCATAAATTATTTCGATTTTGACCAAATTTAATGATTTTGCGGTTTGTTTTCTAAAAAAACGTTCTTAAACGGTCAAAGAGATTCAAAAACATGATTTTTTAGCTCAAAAATTTAGTTAACAGAAGGCGAAAAAATTGGCACTTTCGTCGTAATTTGGTGACTTTTTTCTGACTATAAAAATCACTAAAACTTTCGAAAAATGCAAAATTTATTTCATTTTCGACGTAATTTAGTTGTAAATCCCAATTTTTTTTATTTTTGACGTAGTTAATTGAAAAAAATGAGTTTTCAGCTCAAAAACAAGCTTCAGAACTCAAAAAAAGACAAAAAACACCGTTGTTTTGGAATCTCTGAATTTCTTAGCTTATCTTCGAACAAAACTTTCACAAAATTCAAAATTTATTTACTTTTTATTTAAATTTCAATAAATTCTTTGCAAATATTGTGAAAATATCAATATTTTTCAGACGGCACTCAGCTACATCGCATCAAACGGATCGATAGACTTATTGGAACAAATATTACAATTACCGAGTTTGGATCCGAACAAACCGGATAACGAAGGCAATACTCCTCTGCATTTTGCTGCTCAAGCTGGTAAGAGTTGTTGGGACTTAATTGCTCGTTAATAATTTTCTAATTGTAGGACAAGTTGAATGTTTAAATTGTTTGTTAAGTCGTCGAGGAATCGAAATCGATGCTAGGAATAATTTAGGTTTCACGGCTTTGATGAAAGCCGCGCTTCAAGGAAGGAACAAATGTGCCAAATTATTACTGTTTGCTGGTAAGTTTTTGTATTTTTTTTCATTATTAGTTGGAAAAAATACAGTTGTGAAGTTGTTTTTTTCTTCTAGTGGTCAATAATCATTTTTATTACTGACCAAGGCCAATAATGGCTTTGAGGTGGGTAAAGAAATAATACAAATAAATCTAGAACATTATTATTTCAAACTTTTATCATCAAAATTAACACAAATCAAATAAAAAAGACTTAAACTTTGTCATTAAAAACAGAATAATTTCAAGACTAATTCTTCTATCTGTCAAAACTGTCAAAACAACGAGAAGATTAACACTTTTTTTCTTTTTTTTTGCACTTGTTGTTTTAACAAATATTTTATATTATACAGCTAGGAAATATCTTGGTAATAATAGATTAATAAAAGTAGTTGTGAATTACGACATACTACGCCAACATGCCTATTAAGTGAGATGTTATTCTTCAGAGTAAAATGTGCTAGTAGTGAAAAAATGTTATATAAAACACGAGAGAAAATTTTTATTGCCTCACATTTATTATTGTGCCTCGACTATAAAAAGTCTCTTCTCTACTTGTGACATAATATACTATTACCCAAATTTTGATTGACTGTTTGAATATTAAAGCGAATTGTCAATCAAATAATTGGATAATGTCATTGAAAATTAATTGACATTTAAATGGTATTTTTAATAATTTAATAATATTTAATTAATAATAATTTGCGTTATTAATTTTTTGCTGTGGATGTGGGAGGGTGACAAAACTATTGATCATTTATTACATCTACAAGTTTTTTACTGTTTCATAACCACTTTTTATTATTTATTTAAGTGTGAATGAATTGATTTCTTAACGATTTTGTTCCAATAACCCACAAATTTTGTGTTTCTGAGCTGACAACCTCGAAATTAAACCAAATGTTATGCTTATTTTACAAGAAACTATTAAATAAAGTATGAACAAGTCTTTCTTATTTTTGTTGGTATAATTTTATGACCATTGATGGCAAAATGTAAAAAAAAACAAATTTTTTATTTTAATTTAACTCTCATTTTTAACAATATTCTCAAGTTTTCTGGAAATTAAGCAAGAGATATTATTTTTATCCACAAACGTTACAAAAGTGACCACTTTTATGACAAAATCTCAGTTTCATCTGTAGAGTAGAGTAAAAATTCTACTTTTGTGCCTGAGCGTTTTTATTTCAAATTTCGCCTTGGTAATAAACCACTTCCCTCCCTCGGCACCTAATTTACTATTTCCTATCTCTAGATTATTTTCTTCTGTCCTTTTTAAGTTTTTATCACAATTTTGTGTTTAGTTGAAACTAAATGAGTTTTTATTTTCAAAAATTTTGTTTTTTAATGATTTAATGTCAGTAATTTTATCATGTATAGTAATTTACCTTTAGCGGGGCTTCGATTTTTTTATCTTATTTTCAACAAAATTGTGTGCAACAAATTTGTTTCTGGCTAAAAAACGCACTTAAATTTTTATAAAAAGGCAAAAACTATGTGCCTTTAATCCTAATTTAGTAATTTTCACGATTCGTTTTAGACAAATTTTTGGAAAATTTAAGTTTACGTTCATCGCTTGAAAACTCAAAAATTACACCATTTTTGACTTGATTTTTTAGCTTATTTTTTACAAAATTTTGCATTTCTGGCTAAAAAACGCAACGCCCTAAAACTTTTGAGAAAAGCAAAATTTCCATTATTTTTGACCTGATTTAGTGACTTGAAGATCCGTTTCAGCAAAATTTCTTTTAAACAAATGAATTTTCAGCTTGAAAACGGGCTTAAAAGCTCAAATAAAAACAAAAAACATCGTTGTTAATTGTATCTTTGAATTTTTTGGCTTATTTTCGATAAAACACAAAAAAAATATTTCTGGCTAGAAAACTCACTAAAACCTTCGAAAAATTAAAAATTTTATTTCATTTTTAACGTAATTTAGTAATTTGTGATTTTTTAGCTCAAAAATTTGGTTGAACGCTTAAGAAAGGCGAAAAAATTGGCATTTTTGTCGTAATTTGGTGATTTTTAACTTAATTTTGATGAAATTTTGCAAAGTAATTGCGTTTCTGGATGAAAAACGCACTAAAACTCTCAAAAACTGCAAAAATTATGTTATTATTGACCTAATTTAGTTTCTTTTAGAATTTTTTTTGGAAAACTGAGTTTTTATAGTGCAGAAGTTGCTTTATCACTCTATTTAGTATTTTTTTAACTTACTTTTGACGAAACTTTCTAAAATAATTGCGTTTGTGGCTGAAAAACGCATGAAAACTTTCAAAAAAGGCAAAAATTACGTAATTTTTTATTTATTTTTTAATTTAGTGATGTCATAAGATCCTTTTTGGCAAAACTTTTCGACAAAATTTTACGTTTATGGCTGAAAAACGCATTAAGAATTTTTGAGGATGGAAAGACTTATTTAATAATTCTACGATCCAATTAAGGTGCTTAATTTTTTAAAAACGGCAAAAATTTTGTAAAAAAATTAGTAATTTGAACAAAATTTCTAAAAAAAAATTAATTTTTTGTTCAAAAGCTTGCTTAAACGTTTAACAAACTTATCATTAGCACATCATTGGTAATTTTCTGACTAAATTTTCCGAAAAAATTACGTTTCTAGCTAAAACTCAAAAAAAAAAACATCCAAGAATTTTGAATTGATTGAAAAAATTAGTTTTCAACTCAAAAACAAGCTTCAGAACTAAAAAAAAGACAAAAAAACACCGTTGTTATTGGAATCTCTGAATTTCTTAGCTTATCTTCGAACAAAACTTTCGCAAAATTCAAAATTTATTTCATTTTTGCCGTACTTTGAAGATTTTGCGGATTATTATGAACAAAATTTTTGTGCAAAATAATTGAATTTTCGGCAGAAATATATATTTCTGGCTAGAAAATTAAATAAAACCTTCAAAAAATTGAAACTGTGTTTCATTTTCACCTGATTTGTTGGCTGTTTTTGATTTGGTGATTTTCGGTTTATTAAGAACGAAATTTTGCCGATTTTGACCAAATTTAATGATTTTACGGTTTGTTTTCTAAAAAAATGGTCAAATAAATTCAAAAACACTATTTTTAACTCAAAAATTTTAAAAAGGCGAACAAATTGGTGACTTTTTTCTGGCTATAAAAATCACTAAAACCTTCGAAAATGCAAAGTTTATTTCATTTTCGATGTAATTTAGTGGCTTATTATGCAAAATAATTGCATTTCTGGTTGCAAAATCTACTAAAACGCTCAAAATAGGCGAAAATAATGATTGAAAAACGTTTTTGAAAGGCAGTAATTTTATTATCTGTAGTTATTTGGCTTCACATCAATTTTTAAAATAGTGTTCAATACCAAATTAATAAAATATGAGTCTAGAGAATCGAATATTCCGACATTTAATATCTTTAAATTGAAATTCTGCCTGCACAAATTAATTAACCTTGACCAGATTTCGAACAGTTTACAAACTTCAAATGATAAAATCTCGTCGTGTCATCTATCAATAATTCCTTTCAATAATCAAATAATAAAATAACGTGTAAATAGGTCACACACGACACTGCTCCGCCCTTGAAACGAATCAATCCCATATTCAAATCAAGCGAATCGTGCAAAAATCATTTCACATTTGAGCGAATTCGGCTCGGATTGACTTTTATTTCCACAAGGTTACTCCTTATTACACTAAAAAAGTATTTTTCGCTTAAAATCAGGTTAATTGGGAAGCTTCTCCGCTAAAACATTCTTCACTTGTTGCGTCAACTTGTCGGGAAATTTAATATTAAAGTCAACGATGATATCACCCCGTTTTGATGGCTCTTTCGGAAACGGCAATCCTTGGCCTGGAATGCGCTTCAAAGTGGTCGGTTTGATGGTCTCGGGGCCCAATTCCAGTCTGATGGTCTTCTCGCTCAATGTGGGGATGGTCACGAAGCCCCCACAAAGGGCCTGTTTCAGCGAGATGGACGCCGTGTAGCGGAGGTCCGAGCCCTCGCGTTTGAACACCGGGTGGGGTTTGTCACGGACGATGAAGACGACGTCGGCGGGGATTTTGTTGGGGAAGATGTCGCCTTCCTTCAGGAATGTGATCCGGGTCCCGGCTTTCCAGCCTGGAACACATTTTAGACTTTTTTTTGGCTCCCGAAAATTATAGGATTCATGATGTTTCTGGCTGAAAAACGCACTAAAAGGGGCAAAAAATATGCTATAATTAAAAAAAAACACCGGTTTTGGTGTGATTTGGTGACTTGTTTTTGACAAAACTTTTCGAAATAATTGCACTTGTGGCTCAAAAGAATTTAAAAAAATGTGTTTTTAGCTCAAAAACAAGTTTGTTTAAACAAAGACAAAAAACACCGTTTTAATTGGAATCTCATAACTTTTTGGCTTATTTTCGAGAATGAGCAAAAAATTATGTTTCTGGTTTTAGACAAATTTTTGGAAAACTTAAGTTTCTAGCTTCAATGCTTGAAAACTTTTGGCTTTTGAGCTGATTTTTTAGCTTTTTTTAGACGAATATTTGCATTTCTGGCTAAAATTGCCCTAAAACTTTTGAAAAAAGCAAAATTTACTTTATTTTTGACCTGATTTAGTCACTTGAAGATTCATTTCAGTAAAACTAATGAATTTTCAACTTGAAAACAAAAAAATCATGTTTCTGGCTAGAAAACTCACTAAAACCTTGGGAAAATTCAAAATTTATTTAATTTACTGCGCAATTTAGTGATAATTTTTGTTGTGATTTGCTGATTTTTTGACTTATGATGGAGGAAATTTTGCAAAGTAAATGGGTGGAAAATTTAGTGATTTTACGATTATTAAAAAAAATGACGTAATTTATTAACTATTTTACCTCAAAAATTTGGTTAAACGCTTAAAAAAGGCATTTGATCGTAATTTGATGATTTTTAACTTGATTTTGATGAAATTTTGCAAAAAAATTGCGTTTCTGACTGAAACTGAAAAAGGGCACAAATTATGTTATTATTGACCTAATTTACTAATTTTATCGTTTCTTTTAGATTTTTTTTGAAAAACTGTGTTTTTATAGTGCATATGCTGCTTTAACAGTCTATTTAGTATTGTTTTAACTTACTTTTGACGAAACTTTCTAAAACGCATGAAAACTTTCAAAAAAAGCAAAATCTACGTAATTTTTTATATAATTTAGTGATGTTATAAGGTCCTTTTTCGCAAAATTTTTCGAAAAAATTTTACGTTTATGGTTAAAAAACGCATTAAGAATTTTTTACAATGTAAAGATGTAATTTGGAATTCTTAAAATGTAATTTTTGACTTAATTTAATAATTCTACGATCTAATTAAGGTGTTTAATCTTTAAAAAAAGGCACAAATTTTATAAAAAATTAGTAATTTGAGCAAAATTTCTAAAAAAATTGCATTTTTTGTTCAAAAGCTTGCTTAAACGTTTGTAATTTTCTGACTAAACTTTACAAAAAAATTACGTGGGCGGGGATTTTGTTGGGGAAGACGTCGCCTTCCTTCGGGAAGGTAATCCGAAACACCGAAACAGTTAGTTTTTGGCTCCTGAAAATTATGGGATTCATGATGTTTCTGACTGAAAAACGCACTAAAAGGGGCAAAAATTATGCTGTATTTTATGGTCCCTTTTAGATTTTTTTTAAATT